TCCGTAACTGTAATTTCCACCTGCGCAACATCTCCAAGCTCAGACACATGGTCTCAGGTCAGGAGCAGGAGATGATTGTCCACGCTTTTGTTTCCTCGCGATTGGACTATTGTAACAGCCTGCTTACATGTCTTAATAAGAAAGACCTGGCTCGTTTACAAGTCGTCCAAAATTCTAATGCGAGGCTTTTGACCCGCACCCACAGGAGAGCCCACATTAGTCCTATCTTGAAGGCCTTACACTGGCTCCCCGTCTCACACAGAATCCATTTTAAATTTTCTGGTGCTGACATTCAGGGCACTTCATGGTCAGGCGCCTGAATACATCCAGGGCCTGATCCACCCCTATGTTTCCAACAGAACCCTGCGGTCCTCCACTCAGAACTTGTTGATGTCCCCCGCACTCGCTTTAAAACCAGAGGAGACAGATCCTTCCAGGCAGTTGCTCCTCTCCTTTGGAATGAGCTTCCTCAGTCTCTGCGTATCTTAGAGACGTTGATGATTTTACTAACTATCGACGTATTTGTTTAGACAGGCTTTCTCGCCTCACTGTTCATAGGCCTCTGTGAATGTAAAACTGTGTTTTCTGTGTTCTGCTTTTATCTGACTTGTATGTGTATTCTATGTGTTTTAATGTGTGAAGTGCTTTGTGATCCTGGTTAGAGTTTCGCTTTTCAGCCCGAGCCCGAGCAGGCCCGAGGCCCGACCTGAGTCCTACAGCAGCAGCGAGCCGTGAACGCATCATCCCCGTGTCTCCTGCTGCATGCTGTGGTCAACAGCGAACAGGAACAATAGTAGAAATGGATCAAGTGGAGACAAAACAAATTCAAAAGTGGAGACTAAACTTGCAATTGGAAGGTGAGTGCGTACAACGAGAAATCAGATGTGTCGGGTTCTGTCGGGCTCGGGCCTGTTATACAGCGTTCATTGGTCGGGCTTAAACGGGCTCGGGCTTAACATTAGCGGGCTCGGGCCGGGTCGGGCTTCATTTTTCAGGCCCGAACGAAACTCTAAAAACATTTAAAAAATGGTCCGACAAAGGTTTAACAAATTACAATCCATTTTATCATAAAGATCAAATGAGGAGCATTCAAGATTTGAAAGATCTTGACAACAAAGACTTTTTCCGATACCTCCAGGTCCGCCAAAATTATAGAGACCATACAAATCAGCTGTCGGGATTATTTACAATATTTATAAAAGCATACCAGCAAGGATCAAACAATAAATTGATTTCTAAACTATATGATGAGCTACAAAACTTGCAGAGTGAAAATATACTGTACATTAAAGAAATATGGGAGAATATGCAATATTATTCGGCCCCCTTGTGCTAATACTTTGTAGCGCTACCTTTTGCTGCAATTACAACTGTTTGGCACATCGACTGGAGACTGGAATTCTTGCCCATTCTTCCTTGAAAAACAGCTCGAGCTCAGTGAGGTTGGATGGAGAGCGTTTGTGAACAGCAGTCTTCAGCCCTTTCCACAGATTCTGGACTTTGACTTGGCCATTCTAACACCTGGATACGTCTATTTGTGAACCATTCCATTGCAAATTTGGCTTTATGTTTTGGAACATTGTCCTGTTGGAAGATAAATCTCCGTCCCAGTCTCAGGTCTTTTGCAGACAAACAGGTTTTCTTCCAGAATGGTCCTGTATTTGGCTCCATCCATCTTCCCATCAATTTTAGCCATCTTCCCTGTCCCTGCTGAAGAAAAGCAGGCCCAAACCATGATGCTGCCACCACCATGTTTGACAGTGGGGATGGTGTGTTCAGGGTGATGAGCTGTGTTGCTTTTACGCCAAACATATCGTTTTGCATTGTGGCCAAAAAGTTCGATTTTGGTTTCATCTGACCAGAGCACCTTCTTCCACATGTTTGGTGTGTCTCCCAGGTGGCTTGTGGTAAACTTTAAACGAGACTTTTATGGATATCTTTGAGAAATGGCTTTCTTCTTGCCACTCTTCCATAAAGGCCAGATTTGTGCAGTGCACGACTGATTGTTGCATAGGACAACAATCAGTCGTGCACTGCAGACAGACACAGACTCTCCCACCTCAGCTGTAGTTATCTGCAGTTCATCCAGAGTGATCATGGGCCTCTTGTCTGCATCTCTGATCAGTCGTCTCCTTGTTTGAGATGAAAGTTTGGAGGGACGGCCGGGTCTCGGTAGATTTGCAGTGGTCTGATACTCCTTCCATTTCAATACAATTGCTTTCACAGTTCATACCTCCTTTACAAAGAACACTGGAGATGAGATTTGAGCCATCTGAAGATTTATGGCAACAGACACAACAATACGAATGTACAATTAGAATACAAATGTTTATTTGTAGGAATATAATAAAAAATCCTCCGCTTTTTCTCAGACTGCGGCAGGACTACGCAACCGTTTACACGTGCGACTTGGTTGGTCCTGATTGGTCCCTATCTCTTACTATTCCGCTCCGACCAGCCTGTTGTGATCTTTCAGACTGAGCACCTACCCTCTGAGCGCCTCCCTCCTGAACACATTCCTCGAGAGCAACTCCCTCCTGAGCACCTTCCTCCTGAACACGAGTCCCTAAAGTTGACTCTCTTCTTCGATGTAAAAAGCGCTCATCAAGCGTGTCTGGCTGATGCGCACAGACTTTTTTTGAAACTTTTTCTTCATCTCTGTCCGTAAAATTACGTTTGTGGCACTCAATGAGTTAAACAGGGTATTGACGCAATTTTTGGCATTAATGTTCTTTTGAATTTTGAAATAATATTTTTGGGGACTGGACATCACTTGTTAAAGACATTTTTCAAATGGAGAGACTGACTTTTGAACAAAGACTGGATCATGACAGATTTGAGGACTATTGGAAATGTTGGACACATTATACCAGCACTCAAGGACACTTGTGATATCCCTTTATTTGCTTATCAACTGTCCTTTAGTTTTTGTTCTATTATGTGAAAAAAAGTTTTTACAAATGTACAAATTCTAATGTACCATGTATGTAACATTGTGTAGATGTAAGAACTGCTGAATGAGTCAATAAAAAATGTAATTATAAAGGCTCTGACACATTTTAACCAATCTGACACTCAAAGCCTCACTGAATTACGAGGCTTCATCTGCCCATCACTGGTAGATATTTTTCTCTGAACTGTATTTAAGGACTGACGTCTGCGGTGCAGTTCATCTGTTCTTCTTCATGTACTCAGTGTAAGAGCAACACTAGAAATCAGAATCTGCCATAAACCTCGAGAACAAGTCTGAGCACTTAGGGCTGTGATTGGTGTTGAGTGATGAGACTATATGGTGTAGTATGGTACTGTACAGTACAGTATAGGAATATTAAGACGTTGTTATAGTTTTAGGGGCGACAGTTGGTAGAGCATTGGCCTTTGGGCCTGAAGGTCGTGGGTTCGAGCCCACCGTAAGACCTACTTCACGACTCCCACTGATGACTGCTGATGACTGCTGTCGTTGTGTCCTTGGGCAAGACACTTAACCCCACTTTGCCTGAAGCCTCCACTGAAAGATCTCAGCTCCTGTGGACTCACCACCTGCAGGAGGATCAGTGAGGGGCTGGTGCTCTGTGAACTGGGTGCAGCTCTGACTGCCACGCCCCCGACCCAGAAATGGATTAAGGGGAAGAAAATGGATGGATGGATGGATGTTATAGTTTTATCAAATAAATACAATATAGAATATCAGCATTTAGATATTGTATTGCTTAATTGATTTCTTACAGTACTTTTTTTTATAGTATAGAATAGTTTATTTCATACATCATATCCTTTCCCTGAATGCATTTTATGAGAAATAAAGAAATTAGTAAAATATTGCTTGTATTTAATGGATATTATATAAAATGAAGGGGGGTTAAACTAGCCTAGGCCAGCTTATACCCAGGGGTATATTCTTGCCTAGGCCATTTTATACCCGGCGTATAATCTGGACTATGTTACTTTATACCCGGTATATTCTGGTGGGGAGTTAAACTGGCCTGCTACACCAGGAGTAGGGGACCACTGTCAAAGACGACATATAATCCTTCAAAGCTACCGAAGTACCGAAGGACCTTTTCAAAGAGAAATAAACTTTTATTTTTAAAGACCACCGGCGGAAGTGGCGGAAGTAGCGGGCGGCCTTTGATGCTAACTGAGTTAAGCTAGCAGCTTTTTGTGTAAAGTTCTTCGCCAGGAATGTAGCTCTGCAGCGCCTCTGTATCCAGAGACCTTCCAGAGACTTTATATATCAGCAGTATGTGTTCAGGGAGGTGCGCCAACAGTTTCTTTTATTATTAAACGGTACTTCCGCATCGGCCAACACGCTAACGCTAGCTCCGCTAGTTTAGTCACTACTATAGCCTGAATGAGAACTCAGGCATATGGAATATGTTCACAACTACTATGTCCCTCATTGTCAATCTTGGTTAAATCCTGGTTTAGTCATGGTTTAGGTCCTGTTTTGGCTGTATTTTGTAATTTTGAGTTATTTCACTAAGCTCGCTAGACCGCTAATGTTCCCATGACCACTTTGCGGCTCTCTGACCCGAGAGAGAGAGACAGGGAAAACAAACAAGCATGCAAATGGCATTTATCACGGCCAGAAAAATTATCGAGCTAATTTTAATTATCATGCAATTAATTGATTTATTGAATATCGCGACAGGCCTACTGTCATATGTTAATAAATGTACAGAAATATCATGTCCTTAGACACTTCTGTATCAGCAAGAAAACCACTCAAAAACCAAGTGAGAAAAGAGTGAGAAACTTCAAGGAGGTTCATATTGAGAGAGGGATCCACTCCTACGGACGGACAAGCTGTAGATCCAGGACTGAGGCTGTAGGCCCAAGATTGAGGTTGTAGTTACAGGGCCGACTGGTTTTTCTCAATCATATTATGGGTTTACATGAGTCTTGTTCAATTTAAATTGGACTGAAGAGAGAGATCCAGTTTGACTAGTTCCTTCCACAATGTGTTAAACAGTGATATATATCCTGAGTGATCTCCTCACCAAGTTGTAGCCCTCCTCGTCGGACTCAGGCTGGGACAGGTCCGACTCACTCCTGGACTTCATGAGTCTGTAACTCGGGCTGGTCTGAATGGAGCGGCTCTCTGCGCTCATGCTCTCACTCCTGTGGAAAACAAGAGGGAGAAACATAGACTTAATATTAATTACATAATACTACACACTACAAGACAAAAAAACACAGCTCCAAATGAATCTCAGTGAGCATAGTCCCCATTAAACACCTGCGTCAGTCTGAGATTCAAAAACCCATCCATTTTCTTCCACTTTATTCGTTGCCTGGTCATGGGGGACAGCAGTCCAAGCAGAGACGCCCAAGACTTCCCTCTCCACACACTTCCTCCAATCCATTCAGGGGAATCCCAGCATGTTCCCAGGCCAGCTGAGAGACACGATCCCTCCAGCATGTCCCTGGTCTCCCTATTGTGCAACATGCCCAAAACACCTCCGCAGGGAGGCATCCCAACAACAAGCTCTACAACAAGTTCCTCCTGTTTGACTGAGCTCCTCACCCTATCTCTAAGGGAGCGCACAGACACTGCAAAGGAAGCTTGTCCTCTCATCCATGACCCAAAGCTCATGACCATAGATGGGGGAGGGGACGTAGATTGACTGGAGAGCTTTGCTTTTTGATACAGCGACCGCATCACTGCACGCGTTGCACCGATCCGTCTCTCAATCTCACGTTCCATCCTTCCCTTACTTGTGAACAAGACCCCGAGATACTCCTCCACTTGAGGAAGGACCACTCCACCAACCTGGAGAACTTTTTCTTTTCAAGTGCCACAGCTTCAAATTTCAAGTTCGAGTTATTGTATTGTCAAGTTGTAGTCCTTGACAATACAATCACATAACCCTTATATTAAAATACAGTTCAAATAAAAGTGCAAGTTACTAAAATACGTTTCCATAACAAGTTAATTTTGAGAGGAATGGTCTGATTCTGAATACATCCAAGACCAAGAAGATGATCATAGACTTTCACAGGAGCCCTTCCCATCAACCAGTCACACTAAATGGACAGGACATCGAAGTGGTACAGACATACAAATACCTAGGATTCCACCTGGACCACAGACTGGACTGGTCAGCACGAGCCAATGCTGTTATAAGAAAAGTCAGAGCAGATTCTTCTGCTTGAGAAGACTGGAGTCCTTTGATGTGAGCAGTCAGATGTTGGAAATATTTTACATTCTGTTGTAGCTAGTGCTGTGTTCTTTGGGGTCACGTGTTGGGGGCGGCAGTCTGACCTCGAGAGACAGTAAAAGGCTCGAGAGGCTGATCCGGAAATGTGTTTCTGTGATGGGGGGAAGTGTAGGCTCTGTGAAAGCTGTGCTGGAGAGAAGGATGAGGGCTCAAATGCACGGTATCCTGGGTCACTCCAGATGCCCTCTGCATGACACTATAACCGCTCAGAGGAGTAATCGTAGCAACAGGCTTATATCACTGCGCTGCCGAACTGAACGTTTTAAGAGATCCTTTGTTTCTGCGGCTGTCAGACTGTACAATAGACCTGTAGGAGTTAAAAATATGCACTATTGTTAGATAGTTAGTTAGAAATGTTCATAATGGGCTATATGCACGCATCACTTCCGGCGGCGCGTCATACCCGGTCTACTACTATTTAGAGTCTATGCTACTGCTACGGAAGGTGGCAAATTTCACACGGTGTTTAATCGAGATACCTAAAGTCTCGGTTAATGATGTCGGACAACTGGTCAGGAGTGTGTCCACAGAGCCTCATGGAGAAGGGGTTTAAGTTTTATGTTTGTTCGTACATTAAAAACTTTGAAGGTAAGTTTACAGGCTCCAACTCTTACTAGGTAGCTAACTAACGTGACTGCCTTTTAATTTCCGCAACGACCCATTCGTAGCAAGCTAATGTTATATACTTGTGATACGATTAAAGTTGTTTTTCTAATTGCCAGTGTCAGGTAAAAACTCTCTGACAGGCGAGGTGACAGTTAGAACCCGGTGCTACCGCTCTATGAAGAAGTCCGAGGCTCCCCACCAGCTGACTTAAGTCACGGCCATCTTTCTGGCATCTCTGTTGTTCAGTCCGATTGGACTTTGTCTTTGTGTCATAGTCCCGTTGGACTGTTGTTCTGTTGTCCTGCTGGACTTACTGTTGTTCTATGTTCTGTAGAACATGTTCAAATATGCTTTTTAATATAGGGAAAGTCACGCTGAAACGTTGGTTGGCAGCTAAGTAGGACGAGAATTTGTTTGGCAGCACTGATTTTGATTACTCATGAAAGGTTATTAAACAAAACAGAAATAATTTTAAAAAACCTTCCAATTGTACATATACTTTCACCCTACTTGGCTGCCTTTTACATTGCATTTAAAAGCATGACACCATAAGACAATTCCTCTAAAAACCTCTGTTATTGTTGCAGATTACACTCCGTGAATCAACCCCAGTTGTGTTTGTTGGGAGTTCCTGCTCTTGTGTGGCTGGCCAGGCACTGTGCAATCACATAGTTGCTCTGCTGTAACAGACTGCACATCATTGTGAGAGTGGGATGTCTGTGGTGCCACCTGTTCTTTCCTGCACTGACACTGAGCAAAAGTGGCATAAACCGCGAACCATGGTTGGTAATAATTTATGTAGTATAGCTCATGTAAAGCTTATCTATACCACCAACTGAGCTAGCCTGGTCCTACCACACCATAGCACAAATTACATTTTGTACTAAGGTCTGGAGGTGCTCCATTGAGCTCCGTTTACATGTGATATGAGGGGTTAACTTCTTTTGCAGATTGAAACGATTGGATCTGAGTTTACCGTGACGTATGTAATGCGCCCGAGGGAGTGGTTAGCATTTAGCATTTAGCCTAGCCATGTTCCCTGGACACAGTGCAGCAGGTGGGGGACAGGAGGGTCCTGGACAAACTAACATCTATGCTGGACCATGACTGTCACCCCCTGCAGGACACTCTCTCTGCTCTGGAGAGCAGCTTCAGCGATAGACTAATTCATCCTCGCTTGTGTGAGGGAGAGGTTCCGCAGGTCCGTCCTCCCTGCTGCTGTCAGGCTGTACAACAAGAATGTGTAACAAGAACTGCTGAGTCTGTACAAGTGTCACTGATAATTCACTAGTAACTTTGTAACTAGTCACTTTACCTGTTATTAGTATTACTGCAATATTACATATCCATCTGATATTTCTGCCATTCACCAGTCACTTTACCTGTTGATATTATTTTTGATGTTTATTTTGCTCATATTCATATTCTACGCTGCTAAAGTACAATATACACATCTGTAAATACTTCTGAACCAAGTGCAATTATAGCCCCAGAGTTTATTTTATTTTATTCTTTTATTCTTTATCTTAATTTTATAGTCTATTATCTATAGTCACGTGACTTCCTGTATCCGGTGAGCGTGTTTCTTGACTACTATCACTCTGCTCTCTGTTTGGACTAACAAACACATTACAAATCCACGTATTGTACACCAAGCTAACTGTGTAAGCACTCCGAGTCAGCTGTACTGCAGCTGAGGTTTAGGTAGCGGTTGTTTGTCTGGTCTCGGAGTCTGTTGTGCGGGCCCGGATCCGGACTAGCTAAGCCTAGCCTAGCCGCTAACTCGCTACTCCTATGGCGGCTGCTGTCTCTCCCTCAATCCTTTACTGCTCGAGTTGCCATATGGCGAGTCTAAACCCTGGATCCTTCTCTGAGGGTAGTGATAGATGTGTGAAGTGTAGTGAAGTCTCGAGCTAGCGCTAGCAATAGCTACAGCCAGGCCGTATCCTCAGGGACAGCGGAGCGCAGCTTTAGGGAAAGGCAGAGGAGAATTAAAGCCGCAAGCGGCGTCGAACGGCCCTCGCCGCACCGCGCGACTCCCCGCACCGCGCGCACCACCCCGTTCTACGCCGCCCCGCACCAAGCCACCCCGCACCACGCATCCCTGCAGCACGCCGCCATTCACCACGCCGCCCTGCACCACGCCGCCCCGCACCAAGCCGCAACGCGCCGCTCCACAACGCCGCACAACACCGTACCACGCAGCACCGCTCAAAGGAGGTGGCGCCGCCGTGTGATGATTTGTTCCCGTAGCCATAGAAGATTGTTAGTCAAATTGGAATGAATATGATAAGTAGAGCTGGTTTGGCTCCCCATGTAAACTTTGACTCAGTCTTTAGGGGGCGCTAATGGGCCAATTTCAAATATTTCACTTTCACCTGACCTAAACCCTGGAGTTGAACAATGGATTCAAGTTTAATGCAAATCAGTCTTTGTTTGTGCAAACGGGAAAAAAATGTATGTTGTCAAAAACGGCCAAAAAAACTCTCATAGTTTGCCGCTCGGCTGCTCAAACAACGTTTCACTGATCAAAATTCCCTGAAGTCATTTTTATGGTACGTGTGTTGAGATGATGTGGAGCGATTTTGAGGCGAATCGGTGAAATGGCCGAGGCTGGTTTGATGTTTGTGTGAGGTGTACATTTGCAATGAATGGGGAGCGTTTGTCGTTGCCACGGCAACAGGGTAAAAAATAAGCCTTGGACCCTGTTGACTTTTTGAATCAAGAGGGCAAAACAGATGTATGTGCAAAATTTCAAACATTTTGAAAAAACTAAATTTGAAAATGCCCATCTAAAACTTTGAAATAGTCTGTAGGGGGCGCTAATGTGTCAATTTGAATCAATTCACTTTCAAATGACCTAGACCCTAGAGTTGAACAATGTATTAAAGTTTTGTGTAAATCAGACTTTGTATGTGCAAACGGGAGCAAATTTAATGTTGTCAAAAACGGCCAAAAAAAGGTCACATTTTGCCGCTCCGCTGCTCGAACAACGTTGCACTGATCGAAAATCCCTGAGGTCATTTTGAAGGTACATGTGTTGAGATGATGTAGAGCGATTTTGAGGCGAATCGGTGAAACGGCCGAGGAGGAGTCGCTTTCCAACCGACATGTATGAAAACTTTTGCTGTTCATTTTTCCATTTTGCAGTGAAATTCATGGGCTTCCTGTTTGTCAGAGGGCGGAGCCATAATAATATTTTTTTCTTGTCTTGACTTGAGGAACATGTGTACCAAATTTCATGGCTCTACGACAAACTTGACCTCCGAAAAGTCCCATAGGGGTATTATTTTG